GTAGTGGTAGTGGTAATGGTAGTAGTTGCTGTTCTTGTAGTCGTAGTCATAGCAGCAGTAGTAGCAGCAGCGGTAGTGGTAATTAGTAGTAGTTTTAGTAGTGGTAGTGAGAAGTAGCAGCAGCACGTAGCAGTGCTCTTAGTGTTTTATTACTACTACCGTTACTACTGTTTTTGCTAAGGTCCCGCAATACGAAAAAAGGCAATCAGAAAAACACTACTCTTTCGGGACTAGGTGCTGCGTCGGAATTTCCACCCAGGAAGATTTTTTTTGACCACGGAAGCAATCGTCACAGCAACGGCAATCAACATGGGAGCACAAGATGCATAAGCAGCAACAGACAGTGCAGAGCGCATCGCATTCATCTTTGCTCCCACCAAACTCCTCGAAGGTAGCCTCCACAAGATCTGAAGTGCCCACCCCAAAGGTGGCATCCAAATCCAGCTGGCTGAAGGCCTGGCCGAGTGATGAGGAAGCCTGGGTCATCAAGTCCTTGTACATGAAGCGCGGCATTGAGAATTTCGCAAGAGACGAAGACGGAGATTGTTATAGGTTATGGACGGATCACGTGGGTTTCAAGGCTTGAGCCTTTAACATGAAAGGCACCGCACACATGGCCTCCATGGCTCTGCAACAACATGTCCCAAAAGCGCCACACCTCTGGCCTGAAAGCCCCACAGGTACATGGGTAGTTCTCTAAATTCGGGCCCCTTTCTAGAAAAAGAAATCCTCGAAGCGCAGCCATTGAAAAAATAGTAATCCATGAAGGAACCGGACCCCTCAATCCTAAATTCCTAAGCCGCCAAACCCTATAAACCCCTAAATCCCTTCTCCTCTAAACCCTGAAATCCCTAAACCCCAAAGCCCCCAAGCCCCGAAACACTCCCCCTTTAGACATCCTTAAGAGCAGGCGCCTTTTCAAGAAACCCCTCCTCCTTAGGATTTAGGGTTTAGGGTTTAGGGTACATAGGGCTTCGAAAAGGCGTCAAACACGGATATAGACCTTCTATAAGGCTCCTATAACGGTAACTACTCAGCTGAAAGTGTCTTAGACTCAAACCCCCCAAACCCTATAAACCCTGAATCTCCCCAAACCCTAAGCCCCTAAACTATTCCGAACCCCCCCCCCACTGAACCCCGAAACCCTAACCCCCCCTGAAACCCGAAACCCCTAAACCCTGAAACCCGAAACCCCTAACCCCCTTGAACCCTAAACCTAAACCCTTTAAAGGCCTCGGCAGCCGAGGATGTGGGGGATTGCCTCTATGAGGAGATCGCAGCCTTTCTGCGCCGTGTGGCGTCCCACGAAGAGGAACCTCGAAGGGGCATCTGTAGCAGGGTTCCTTTGAAGGGTTTAGGGCTTAAGGTCTAGGGTTTATTAGGTTGTTTTTTCGGTGTTCCGGGTTTTAAGAATGAGGAGAAGTGCAGAAGGTTCATACTGGTCTTACAGCGTTGCTGATGAAAACCCTCAACATGGCCTTTGGCCTGTTTGTACTACACAGGGTTCCAAAGCGGATTTATGAGGACTTCGTATGGCCTTTCTAGCTAGTGCGTTGTGCTGGAATTGTAGTTTTGCCTACGGTTTTTGGCAGGGATTTCAGGGGGAGTTCTCTAAAGCAGTGTCCCTCCAATTCTAGGGTCCTGGATGTATCTGCGGTGTGGGGCTGCAGTTTCAGTTTTTGCTTTTAGACTTGCTGAGTTCTGTTCCGGGTGTAACTAAGGACAGGGTGCGCTTCCCTATGGCCCCGAACCCGAAACCTAAACCTTTCTCAGGGTTTGGGCTTGAATTCAGAACAGTGCTTGATGGGTCGAGTGCAGCACTCAGATAGCTGGAGGAGGGTTTGGTGTGTGCTGCGGTTGATGGTATAAATCCTGCATTAACCATAATAAGGAATATACCCTAATTCCCATGGTTTAGGGTCCTAAGGAATGCAGGATTTATATCATCAACAGAAGGAATTCCAACATCAGTGCTGAAGTGCTACTTCTTGTAAGAGAGACCTGTACCCAGCGCTCTCACCTTGAAGGATTCTGAAGGAAGCAAGCTACTCAGTCAGGCTTGTATGTCCAAGCCTACATATCAAACTCGAGGCCCTTTGTCGGACCCACCAGCCACTCCCAACCAAACCGACCCGGCTTAGGGCTTGGGGCGAAAAGAACATGAACCTTAAAAGCCCAACGCTGCATCCAAAACTGCATATCAAGGCCGTTTAACCCGCCAACCCCCATCCCCTCCCCCGAACCCTGCAGTTCAAACTCCAAGCCCATATCTTTAACCCTTATACATCCTTTACGGGGGCCCTCTCCAGGACCCTCAAAAGCCTAAACCCAACCACCCAAAGAACTGACGGCACTGTTTCATCCAGTCGGGGAGCATCGGGTCCATACGGCCGAACCCTTTGTCGGCTTTGGTGTTCCCGATCCACTCGTCCTCTTGCAATTAAGGCTCGATGGGGTCTCAGGGGCTTCTATCACAGGGCCCTTATAGGTCCTTTCGGGTTTAGGGGTTTAGGGCGTCTAGGGTTTAGGGTTTTAGGGAAAGGGTTACGGTTAAGGTTCAGGGTTTCGGGTTTAGGGTGTAGGTCTGGTAAAGGGTTTAAGACAGGTTCCTCGGTATCTCGTTCGTTATCAGGGTACCTTTTCTCTCCAGTTAACCAGCTTTTAAAATGAGTAAACCCCCAAAGCAAACAGGCAAACGGGCACGACTGGGGCACCGAAATTCGGGGTTTTTGGTGTAGTAGAGTTTGGGGGTTTGGGGTTTATAGGGCTTCAGGGACTGCAGTTCAGCAGGTGGCCCCTACACTATTCACGATTCCTGGAATAGCTTGCCAAGCAGTCAAAAGCTTGCACGCGTCCGCTAGCAGAAGCCATCAGACTGAAGTGAACCCGAGAACAAAGCCAAAGCTAAGTCTACCAGGACCCTCCAAGTACCCTCAAATAGGGGTATATGGTCCCAAATTAAGGGCATTTAGGGTCTAATAGAGGGTAGATGGAGGGTGTAGGTATTCTTGGAATGTGTTCAAGGGCCTCCCACTCCATGTTGGCGATGGGTGCAGCGTGAATGCCGTTGTAGATCACAGACATGCGATTCCTGGGCCAGGATTTGCGCTGTAGGGTCGAGGGTACTGTATGGCTTAGGGCTAAGGGGTTGTGAGGTCTGCACAATCCTGACTCGCTGAATACAGGGCTAGGGACCAAGAGCCATCTGGGACAAAGGGTCATGGAATACCTAATTTTATCTACAGGCGGAACCGAATCAGGTTCCGGAATGGCTGTTCGGGGTTCAGGCAAAGGGCAACATAATCCTCGATAAAATACAATTCAAGCATTGGGTTGCCTCGCTTGTTCTCTATTCGTAGGGTCCTCACGATCCAAAGCTACGTTCCCTCCCCCAGCCCTGTAGACTTGAGGTAGGTTCATACAAGGATTGCTAGAACGATTGCCAGGCAGTTATTTATAAGTGGGGCCTTGAAGCCCTTAATAAGGGCCATAACATGTAATAAAAAGAAAGCTACCCTAATTGTTAATAACCCCACCTACATCATGTAGCTGCGCATGAAACCTCCAAGTGAGGGTTCTGAACTTAGGACTTAGGCCGGGACCCATCAGCACCACACACGCCGCACACCTGGACTGTGGCGGATGAACCCTCAGCCCTACAATTAGGGTTTAGGGTTTGAGGGTTTAGGGCTTAGGGTTTACAATGCAATGTTTACAAACCCTAACACCAACAACTTCGCATTTTCAAGTACGGGATCCTAGCACTTGTCGGGTTCGTCAGAATGTGATGTGTGGAGTCAAGTTCGAGTGCTTGTGGGTGGAGCCAAAATTCAGATTTGGGAGGGAGTTCCCAGAGACTCCAAAACCCCTTAATTAAGGAATATGCAATAAATCATATTCAGGTTCCTACTATATTTTAAGGCATATTCCTTAACTAAGGGGTTTTGGAGTCTCTGGGTTGTGGGGGTCTTGAACGCTTTGGGGTCTACACATGGTCAGCTGCTCTCAGCAACTACACCCTGATCTCCGAACCTGACTATAGGAACACCCGGCCCTTTGATCGCCAGGTATTTATACAAAGGAGACTAATAAATTATACAAAGGAGACTAAGAAACAATTAGGGTTTAGACAAAGAAGACTAAGGAACTATACAAAGGAGGCTAATAAACACCCAGGGTTTCTGACTTAATCAGGAGGTTCCCGTAATAAGCAATGTTAAAACACATATTTTCGGGCCCTTTCAGACCTCTGTATCATGGAGATGCTCAGATCACCGGTCTTTAGAGTCACAGTCCGGGTAGGGGGTTCCGGATGGAAGCGTAGTCGAGAAGTGCGCCGGACATGCATTGAGTGTCAGCAGGTTCGAATCATTCGCGAAGAACTCACCCAATGCTTATAATAAACTTGTTCTAGACGGTATCTTCTGGCCATCCTATGGGCTCAGCGGCATTGGGTTTAAGACTCACTTATTAAGACTGATGGACAGATCGGAGCACATCATCCTTCGGGCCAGGGCCTTAACGCATCTACACTTTAGCATACTCCACCACCCTGCCTTATCATTCAAGCCCCCCCCCCCCGGGCTGGAAACCCCCAAGCCCGTAAACCTTCCACCCTGAAGCCCGCAAAAAGCCTAAACTGGAGCTCCCATGCCCGGAGAAAGTCACCAGCATCCTCCCAAAGCCCGAACTGAGGCTCTCCATTTTCCTCAAGAAAAAACAGATCCGGCTCCTTTATAAAATGGTGCCGTACTATATATTGCGGACCTAAACAGGGACGCTGATTTAGAGATGAAGTACCCATAATTAATATACAAGAAGCCAGGATCATGTCAAGAAGAAAGGAAAAATCACCCACGAGTCTTGAATGTCCCTTCATCGCTCAATGCCACTTCAAAACACAGTTCAACCCCACAACCATCGGACAAAGTTGAAATTGGTCAAAACTTGCGGCATTCGCCCAAACCCAAGAAGTCCCAAGCCGCAAGACAAAGAACCCTAGCAGCAAATCCAAAAACCTGAGCCTGAAAGCAAAGAAAAATCTGAACCCAAAATCCTTAACGCATGTACTGGACAGGCCACACCTACAACTCCAACACCCCAAACCTGCACCGCATAACCCTAAGCCCGAAAGCCCGGCAAAGGCGAAAGCCTTGAAATTCTAAACCCGGTGAAAAGCTGGTGGTGGTAGTAGTAGTCGTCG